TGTTTTTATTACTAGACTATTTCAGAAAATATACATAACACAGGTTTTCTTTACATTCATCTGCAGCAGCTCATGTTTTTGAAATGTGCTCTGGCTTGGATGCCAATTGGACAGTCTTTGGTGATGAATGAAGAAATACTTTGTGGAGTTATCTGGGATTCTTTTGTCAGGCTTGAGAAAGTGAATAAGGTCCTTGGTAATCAGAATGGTATTACTCATGGATTTGATCCATGCCTTTCCTGGCTCTTTGACGGCGTTTAACAAATAGATGTAGGAGGTTATTAGCACTTCATTAGAAAGGACATCAGTTTTTTCTCATATAATTTGGGTCATTTTAGTCAGTACTCAGGCCTGGTTGCACTATAGATGATTTATATTTGGGCTTAGATTGCAAAAGTGGCCCCTCTTGACCCTATTAGACTTCTTGATGGTGTTCAGTATCATTGACCAAGGAGCACTCTGGAACCCTTCACAACAATGGAAAGCTGGGGCATCATTCTTTGGTACATTCACTCCCATCTAAGTGAATGGTTCCAGTTAGGGTTCATGAAGGAGCAGTGATTGAAGCAGTCTTCTTCTTAGCATGATCACTTCCTTTATGTTATTCAATATTTATATGCAACCTCTGAGAAAAGTCATCCATTGGTTTAGGAGGAATATTCATCAACATATAGAAAATACTGAGCTATAAATGATCATCTTGAATTGGTGCCAGAAGGCGGTAAAGATCTGAATGGGGCAAAACAAAGTCAGATTAAATTCTTCCAAGATGGAATAGTTGTTTGTTAATGAACATCTCAGAAGCCTAATAACAATATTCTGGTCATTATTCTTGATGAAGTCACATCAGAAAAAGTTACTTTATGACTTGCAATTTCTCATCAGGTGTGCCATTTTGAGAAATTAAAGAAATGCAAATCTAGACTGTGCCTAAAAACACTGGTAGCTTTCAGCACAAGAAGCATTTTATACATGAGAAATGGTAAGTAAACATAAACAGCTAACTTGTTATATTCTAAACCTTTCTCAAGAGGAATCTAAAATAAACTCAAGGGAAGAATTGATGATGGAAGAATATACTTGCCAATCATATTCCTATATATAGTTATTAAATTTAAAGTGGATAAAACATTTTGTGGTTTTGATAGTGTAATAGAATTATGTACATATACTGAAGAGCATTATTGCTACAATGTATAAACTTTTGCTGAAACTTGATCAGAAGAACAAGTGAAAGAATGCATGATATAATGGGGTAAAATAATTATGGTTATAATACACAAATGGGTCAATGGGAAAATATGTAGTTGAAAGGAATGAAATTTATTTTTGAAAGAACATTATTTTTGAAAGAATTTTATAAAATGAAGCACTGTTGGTATTTGTCACCAGAGAAATTGTCTAGAATGTGTCATGGTATTTTAAATTTATGTTGGAAATGTGAACAATATGAAGGGACATTTTATTGTATCTGGTGGACGTGTAAAAAAAAACAAAAAATGTGAATACAAATGCATACACTAATTCAGAAGATTTTAAAGACAACTGAATACAATTGAGACCAGAGGCATTTCTTTTGGGTCTGGATAGACGGTTAGAAAAAGGCATTGGACTTTGTCTTTATACTGTATGTGACAACTGCAGCAAAATTATTATATGCTCAAAAGTGGAAAAGCTCAGTGTTATCTGCAACAAAGAAATAGTTGGTGAAGATAATGGAACTTGCAGAGATGACTAAATTAAATTCCTTGATTAAAGAAAATACATTTACATTTATGTTTGATTTGAAATACCTTACAGATTTTTTGCATGAAACTGAAAAAAATGCATATGCGACATGTGGTTTTAATAATTAGGAAAAAAATAGATCATAGAAAAAGTGAACTTTTCTGGAACTATAGGGTAAGAGATAACTTTGCAATTACATTTGTATTTCCTGAAAAGAAAATCAGAAGCTGCTTCTATTTCTTTTTATCTTTTCTTTTTTTCACCTTTGTCTTGTTTCTTTTTCTGTGTTCTTTATTCAGTATTAGGTTTTGTTAGTTTTTATCCTAACATTTAAAACAACATTTAATAACATTTATATATGTTAAAAATCCTCCTTAACCCTTGACTATTCCAGGAACCGCAGGTAGAAGTCCCGGTAGGAGGTGGGGTGTGCATGAGTGCATGATCCTATCTTGACCAGGATACCATAACAACAATTACTCATACCCCAATCAACAGCTATTAGACTATCATAACATGTTCCATGCAAGCAACCCTTGGAGATGATTCAGAAGCTGAGACTGGTACAAAATAAGGTGTCAAAATTATTATGCCATCAGTATATAATAACACAGATGTTAAAGTTCCTACACAGGTTACCAGCCTACGTAAATTATAAAACTGTGTTGATTATCATGATCACATAGAGGAAATAAATGTTAAGAGCAGAATAATTAAATGTATACTACATTGAGATGAATGTATATTTTAAGAGGGATTTCAATATTAACCCCTAATGGATATTTTACATACTAATGATAAAAGCAATATTTAACTTCTTGCTGGAGAGCAGAGCTTTGTCTGGTCTCTCCCATTGCTTTCAGAAATGATCAGTGCCTTTGAAAAGAATGTCATGAGATGTTCTACTTGGGGGTATTCATTTTCATTTCATGCAGCAAAACAGGCACAAATCGTATGAAAAGATATACCGTATATAGAAAGCTCCACCATGAGCAATTCTGGAATAAAATAAAGGACTACATTTAAATTTCACAGATCAGTACAAATATTCCTTTGTCAAAGAAAAAAGGCATCTTGTGATTTACATGACATAACTAACCAAGTTTATTTGGAAGCAACTGTCAGAAGTCAATAGCATAGTCATATATAAATTATCTGTTAGATTATTTCTGGATGCAATATGCTGTGGAAAGCCAGGTCAAAGTGTGATTAATGTAAAGGGCATAAACTGCAGTTTTTAGCAATCTATCTTATAGATCTACTCCTTTCAACTTCCTCATAAATGGAAAATTACTTTAAAATCAACAGTGTTCTGGCCGCTGGATTCATGAGTCTAGACTAGAGCAACTATAAAACAAGATTGCTTTCTTCTCCAGCTTTTTCCATGCAGTCACTTAGGGGCAGAGCAAGGATGAAAAATGGACAGAGAAGCTGCTGTGTAATACACTATTGCTGATTACCCTAATGCCCACCAGGCTACCCACAGAGGGGCATTTGTTGTTTTTACAATTGGTTTCTTTAAAAAAAAAAAGGCAAGGAAAGCTTGCCAACCATTGCAAAAGCAGCTGGGCTACCAGCCAGGACAGCTGCTTCCAAGCAAATCAAAACTATCCTGTTTGCTGGGTCATTTGGCATCAGGTCACTGGATACACTTACTCAGGGACTGAGCCAGATTGTACAGTTGAGCATGTCATACCAACGCACTATTTTCACTCTTTGGATTTCACTCTGAAGTGTAGTTTGTATGATTCTGAAACGGTATCTTCGGTTTGCCCAACCATTAGTTCTTATCTTATGCTACTCCCCCATTTCTTAGTAACTGTGCATGATATCTAATTCTTCTTTCATGGAATTGTGTTCTATAAAAGGTTATTGTTGCCTTCTAAGTTAACCTAGTGTTTTTCAACCTTGGCAATTTTAAGATGGGTGGACTTCAATGCCCAGAATTCTCCGCTTAGCATGGAGAATTCTGGGAGTTGAAGACCACACATCTTAAAGTTGTCAAGGTTAAAAAACTACCTGTTGAGGGGTTTTTCTGAGACTAACAAGGCCTCCCTCCTAAAATATTAACAGGCGGCATACATCTCAGGTGATGAGCAATGAGTAATACTAGTAGACAATAACAGATGTTATTGTGAGACTAACAAAGCTAACCCTCCCAAAATATTTATAGGCGACAAGCACTGAGTAATACTGGTAGGCAAACGTCTGCATGACAGACATATCCATGGTCAACAATCACTGTCTATTTAATTAATCCTGGGTTCCCACGACACTGAATTATAAATTAAACCTCTTTTTTTTCTTTTTCTTTTAAAAATACATCGTGGCTCAATACGCCTCCCGAATACAACCATTACATTCTCCTTGGGAATTCCCAGGGCCATCTTCGTCTCTGAAAACCAAAATCGCCGACCCGCTTCATGATGTAACGTTGTGCATGTCTCTCGAAAGCAAGCCACACTGAAGCTATCTTTGAGGTAACCAGCACAGACTGGCAGATTTGGCCTTCCAGTTCATCCCACTTTTCCTGCCTCCGTCCTCAGGCTGCCCAGATCGGTTTTTCAGTTTGCAATCCGCATTAACTCGAGGGCGAACGATCTTCTCATCCCCCCCCGAACATGAATCGCTGGGCAGGAGCCCACGCGGCCTCGGTGCGTAACTGCCCCCCGCATCTTCCACTGAATAAGAGCGAGCGCGCCGCCCCTAAAGCGGCCTTAAACCCGCAGCAGCTGCCCAGCCTTGCGCAGATGCACTGCCACAACAGCAGAGGCTGGTATTCGCCCGAGTCTAGTAGGTGGCGCTCCCTCCTTCCCCACCACTGCGAGTCTTTTGCAGACGCTGCCTTCCAGTGGCGAGATGCCGCCCAGCGCATCGCCCAATGAACGGTCGGAGCGGAGGGCTTAACTGGAAGGGCGTTGTCTTGCAAGAGGCCTCCTATTGGAGGCTGCCTTTTCCCCATAAGGCTCGGTCTCCCCCTCCTTTCGCTGGCGTCAGAAATAGAAACGACTCGGTCCAGTTTGGCGACAAACGAGAGAGGAACGCGCCGGCTCGAAGGGCGCCCTGGATTTCCCTGGCTCGCTGTCAGAACGCAAGGGAGGCCAAGGAGCCAAAGAAAGGACGAGTTTCCCACCGCAAGGAGCCTCTGGATTTCTTTCCTCCCTTCGGAGTCGGAGGAAGCCGAACCTCTCCTCTATTCCGTAAGGAAACTCGTTACAGTCTTCGGAGCCACAAGGTGCATCGCAACCACAACTAAAAAAAAAAAAAAAAAAAAAAAAAACCCGGAGCAAGGCGCCTTTTAAACGCTTCAGGCTTGAAAAACACGCGTCGGGCAAAGCGATCATGGCGCTGGATTTCCTCGCAGGCTGCGTAGGAGGTAAGAAGCGGCGCCCCGAGCGATGATGGGGAGGATCGAGGTTGACATAGTTCATGCCACGACGGTGGCTGGTTTGCGTAGATCCGGGGCGGTGGGGTGGCCGGGTGGGGGGGGGGGAAGAGGCAGCTGCGGTAGGCAGGCGATGGCCACCTCTCCCTCCGCGGCTTGGCGCACTGCAGTGAAGATGCGCTGCCCACCCGCCCGGAGGAGGAGGAGGCCGGGAGGTGTTGCGTTCATGCGCAGCCGCTTAGAAAGGGAGAGGAAGAGACAACCCGAAGCCTTCAGGCGAGCTGTGATTTTCCTACCTCATTTTTGTACTCGATTTGCACACCTGGCGTCGCCGCTTCTCTGGTGGACCCCATTGTCCCCATTGTCTGAGCTGGATTGGCTTTCGTACTGCACAATCGGCGAATGACTGCTAGGAAACGGTGTGGCTTTGGGGTGGGTCCTGCTACCTCTCCACCACAGCCTGGCGAGGCTATTGTGCTAAAGCGGAAACCGGCTCTTCCTCTTTTATCTTCTTCTCCTCGACCATTTAAAGTTTCCAAGCCGGGAACCGACTTTGGTTTAGGATTTGGCCCAAACCCATAAGGGTCTGTTAGGAAGAAAATTCTGTTAAGTGTAATGGAACGAAATCCTAGGTGTAGTCTTACAACTAAAAACAAGTAACTGGACTCCATTTGTGGCCTGGGAAGAGAAAGAGTTGAGATATTTTGAAGGCCACCTCCTGGTTGTTCTTATTGCATGATTGTTTCCCCCTCAGAATAGATGGGATACACTTTCATTTCTTGGAAACTCCACATATAAAGCATAAATGCCCACTGGGGAAGAATAGACAAAAATTAATTCTTACAGGGAAAGTTATTGAATCTCTTGCTTTTGCTTCCGCCAAAGCAGACTTCTGTCTCCTGTGATTGTGGGACCATGTTTTTAAAAATCGGAAAGCTTCATTTTCCTGTTAAAAAGTGTTTAAGGTCCTTTCAAACTATTCTTTTTATTTGTTCTGTCTCCACACAGATTCAAAGTACAGTATCTTTCCAATCTCTTTCATTGTGAAATCACATGAGAAGGAGCTTCTAGTAATCAGTTTATCTAAAGCTGGAGGGTAATGTTACTCTGAGCCCTGGTACATAGCAAATTGTAAATCAGCTTTTCCCAGCTAGATTCTCTTGGGTCATTTTACAGATGTGGGGATGAATGTAGAAAACTAAAAATCAGGGGGGGGAAAACACTTCGTTTGTTTTTTCCTTTTCTGACAACTTTCTGGTTTTAGTCATAGCCTCTTGACATACTCCCAGGAATTTTGGAATTTGTTCAGAAAATACGTGTGTGAGTAATTTAATTTCACTTCCTCATAGTTGTTTTAATTAAGTTCCAGAACATAAAAACAAAGTTGCTTTGTTGTTGAGGTGATAAGTAACATTTTCCAGTGTACTCGCCCTTGTTTTCATTTCTAGCACAGGATATTTATTTATTTGCTTTTCATGTGTCTTTCCTCCAAAAGTTGAAAGTGGCATACATAGTACTCTTTTAATTTGTCCTTGCAAGCAGTCTGTGAGTAGTAGGTTTTGACGGAAAGAGACAAAGACATTTTTGTGCCTTAAAATTAATTTGTACTTGGGATTTTCTGGTTCTAGCCCATGGCTGCGTTATATTGATTCAGAGATGCTGGTAACCTCTAGCCAATTGAATGCTTCCCGTTAGTTACTAACTTCCCTATGTCATTACATAGACAAAGCACGTTGTTCTTTAGATACTCAGCACCAGCATTTAAGCCATTTAAATGTAACTTAAAAATGGTTTGGCAAGGCTTTAATATATTTAATGCTGCAGCACACATTTGTGTTTTTAAAGGAAGAACTTCAAATGCTAACCTGTTTTAGGATTTAACCCTGCCTTAGTCCCAAAGATAAACGTTTCAAAACAAAATGTGTGATTTTATTTATGTGTATATATGTACCCGCAAAGGCTTGTCCTCATTTCCTATAACAAATGCATACAGATGTATCAGTTTATTGTAATGTAAGCAGCCCAGATTGGTAGATATTGCCTTCCTTTTAGCCTGTGTTGGAACTGATCACATGATGCCGGAGTCACAGGTGCCTTGCAGACAGGGTGTATCTGTCCTGCTTCCCCATAAGGCAAGCTGTCAAGATTTGGGTGGAAAAGATAAGGTCCTCTGAAGAAAAGATAGAAGCAAGATAAAGGGGTGAGGAATGTAGGAGGGGGTAATTATATCTATTCTTCCCTCTTGCAGAAAGAGAAAGGGTGGGATTTTTTCCCCCCTCTGGCCAGATAGGGAGTGTGGGAGATTTTATTTGCCACAAAAAACGGTTTTAGCCCAGAGCATCAGAATGTTGATTTTGTGAGGATAAGAATAAAGGATTGGATCTTTAATTGGATATTCATAATCTTTTGGAAAAGGATTTGTATTAGAGGTGTGGTGATACTTCCTATTTTCCATCATTTGAATTTACCATACAAGCCACTTCTATTTTTTAGTCATCACTCTTGCATTATTCTAGTATTGGGTAAATTTACTTCTGCAAATAAACACTTCTGTACAGTTTTCTCTGTACAGAAATATTAGCTTTTGTGCTGATTTAACAAATAGGTCTTCTAGCTGAACATGCAGAGAATTTATCTACAAAATCTACAAGTATGCAAATTATGTAGTTTTACATATTGAAAAAGTAGCTTCATTGATGGAGCAGAGATCACAACTGGGATCAAACTGGAGACATAGCTGTTTCTACTGGCAGAAGGCCTTAAACCTAGGCAGATTAAAGGAGCCTTGGTTCTCTTTTGGCCCTCGTGAAAGGTTTCCAAGATTGGAGCCATTCACTTTGAGATCCTGTTCTATTTCCTATTGCTTCAGGCAATTTCCTCCCCATTGAAACTAATTGATGATAATGTGGAATGTAATTGTTTCCCACCCCTTTCTCACAGATGGAAAATGGATAGGAAACAATCTGCCATTTCAGTCCATTTCTCCTTAAAATGGCAGATGTACCCTATAAACAGTAGAACTTTAAGCTTGCCCAGAGAGTAAATATTTAGTTCTGTGTTGAGGAAGCCAATCATTTCTAACCTAAGCTGCTGTCATGTGCAATGAGGATGAGTTTATGGCTGATGAAACATTTGATGTATTTTCAATATGCAGTTACTGGATTTTTTAAATAGTCTTGGAATAAGTATGTATTTTCCAGCAAAGCATGGAGTAGGCACTTATTAGAGAAATATTGTGTGGACTGTGTGATATTGGAAGCATGGCCTTCTGTGCTCAGTGATACTTTGCCAGATTGGCTATTCAGGCTAGCATTTCTGGGGGGGGGGGAAGTCCTATTTCTTTAGTGAAGAGTTTGAAACGGCTTTTCCCCTGCTTGGTATTCCCCCCCCCCAATTTGACTATTAAACCCATTATATAGTATCAAGTTGCCAATGATATGCTCTTAAATCATGAAACTTTAAACAGGCCTGTATTTAGCAAACTCAGGCATACTAGATGAATTAGGTGTTATGTGATAGGGCAGGAAGTAGCTTCTAGAAATATAGTAAGGACAGTGACTTACAAGTCTCAGCTGTATTGTTGGAGGATGGTATCTACTGTAGTGGTTTTGCGGATGGTATCTACTGTAGTGGCAACATATCCTGTACATTTTTTTTAAATTTGCCTTTTGTCAGCTACAATGAAAAGTGAAGTGTCTCTCATTTGACCTGCTCCAAGCTTCCACTTGGAAACTGCAGCTGGCAACAATTGTGATGAGGCAGGAGCTTATGGGCAGGCCTCAGTATGTCCATGTAGCACCTCATTGCACAGGCTGCACTGCTTACCATAGGCTTTCAGGTCCAACTCAAGGTGCTGGTTTTTTACTTATGAAGCCTTTCATGCCATAGGGCCTGTTTTTTTAAGGGACTGCCTTTCTCCCAGTAACATCTAACCGAGTGGGTATGTTCCAGGAGCCATATTTAAAGAGATGCCATATGGTGGGACTCAGGAGCTATGCTTTCTCTGTCACAAAGCCTGACTGTCCCCTGGGAATAACCCCCCCCCCCAAGGTTTGAGCAGCCCTGACCTCGTGGTCCTTATAACAGGCCTTGAAGGCCTAGTTTTTTCCCCAAGGCTTTAGCTTAGGTGGAATATGTGACCTGAGTGCAATTGTGCTATTGTTACAATTGTGGGAATGTTGCCCCCCCCTAGTTACTGCTATTTTTTATTGGTCTTATTGTGTTAGCATTTTTTTTATTTATTTGCAATTTTAAGATTATCATATCCTTTTTATTTTCTGTCAATCTCTGATCTATTTCACCACCCGCTATAGATGGATTAACCCTAACCCTAATCCTTGCACTAAGCTGTATTTAATATTTCTATTTTGCAAATTCCTTATTCTGTATTCTACATAATGGTCTCAATGTCATGGTCTCATTGTCCTCTCTGTTTATTTCAGGTGCTGCTGGTGTACTGGTAGGACATCCATTTGATACAGTTAAGGTGGGTTTACTTTTCACAAACTTTCTTAGAATATTTGATTAGACTGAAGGCAATACCTGCCCTTACAAATAGGGAAGGGATCTAGATGTTTGAGGCCATCTAAGTAAAACACCTCCTAGAGACCTTCCAATAGATTGCAGTTATACTAAAGCACTACAATGTCCCATATTGCATTAAACGTTCCACAGAAATGGAACATTTAGAGTTCCAGATTATATCATCCCTTGTTTGATGCACTTAAAAAGTGTTCTGAGATATATGCCTTCAACCATATTTTTAATATGATAGTTCAATGGCATCTAGTAAATCCTAGATATAGTTTTGAGTGTACATAACTCATTTGTACTAAAATAAAAATTTAAAATGCACTTTCCTTAATCCTGCTTTATCTGGTACACTTATTTGCGTTTGAAGCAATTAATTTGTTAATTATATTGACCAGATGACTGTTTGCTGCATGACGAAACAGTCTTGCTGATTTAATGTGCTTCTTCCCATCCAAGAAAAGATGTTGTGAGTTTTCAATGACAATTTTTATTTTCTTGTTTAAGACATGGGTGTATAGTGGCTGCTGTTGGAGAATTCAATAGTAGATTATTAGTCAAGAAAAAAATTAGAATTTGGGTAATATCTGCGCCTGTACCAAAGTCAAATTGTATTCAAAACAGGACTGTGAAATAAGATACTAATAATGGAAGTACAGGGATTTTGAGTTGCAAACATGTTTGCATTTTTAATTCAGGGAATCCCTCAGTAAAATATATGGGGCTTATTTTGGAATATGAATGTGCAGGGTGAAGCTACATGCTAAGAATATACATTAAAATAAATTGACTTAAATCCAAGTATTTCAGCTTGTATGAGAATTACGTAACCTTTTTGACGAGAAAATGTGCTGAATAACACTCTGTAAATAACCTTAAAAGGTAAAAGAATAGTTAGCACGATAAGCCTTGAGAAATGTAGCTTGTTGGCTTATAACTGCATTTTCTAGTTATTTCATATCAAGAAATAATCTTTGCTATGAATTCATTCTATTAAATTGCACTGAACTTCTTTTCACATTGTTTCCTATCAGAATGAGTACATTTTAGGAGTTACACTTAATCTTGCATATATTATAATGGACAGGTTCACGGAATGAGTTGGCACTCTTGAATTAAAATTTATTTCAGTTTAATTGTTTTGATGTATTTATATTTCATCTATCACAAACATGGTATCTTTGGGGTGTTTAAGTGGATATTCACTGGCTATCTTAGCTTAAAAACAATTATTGCATCACATTCCCTCAAACTGTGTGTGGGCATCAAGCTATATGCAATCTTGGAAACATGTTCAATACATTTGCTTTGTAAGAAAACTCTATCATATTTGGGAAGTTACTTAATTTATCACAAATCACTGAGAGACTTTTATAATTTACACAATTTTAACGTGAAAACATAATTTCTTCTATAAATATACATACCTATAAAGCATTTATCTTAAATGCTTAGCTTGCTATTGTGTTGTTAAAGGAACAGTGATATGGCTACTCACACTGAGGAGGGGGAATCTGTTTTGCAGACAGATTCTATGCATATTTATTTGAAAGCACACCCCACTGTGGGATTAGCTTTCAAGAAAATATGGACAGGATTGTATCATTGCTTTATTTTAATCTGTCAGAAGTAAAACAACTGGTTTCATGAACTGACATTTATGTAGAATTAAGTGTTTGTTAACCCTTACCTAATATGACAGTCTTTTCCTGATGAAGCTGAATACTGTAGCTAGGCACTATTTTCACTTGAATGCTATTTTTTTTAAAATAAATAAATGTAATGGAATTTAAAGCAAAGTTTAATAACTTCCAAGTAGTTGTAAAGATTAGGCAGGCTGGGTTTGTGGGACCGGGAGGGTAGGGCTTGTAAAATGGGGAAGATGCTGAACTGTTTTTGAGCCAGCTCTTCAAATGGAGACTCCTGCCCCCATTTTGTTGATGTAATGTGTACAATTGCTTTGTTACTTAACTGACTTTACTTTTTGAGCTAGGGGCTGTCTTCATTAACAGCAAAAGTGTTACTTTGTTGTAGATGACAGATAAGCCTCATCACGGGAGAGTTACCTAGTAAGTATAGACCAGGTGAACATTCTGTTTCTCTCGGTCTTAATTTATTCCAACATTTATGATTAGTTCAAATTTTTATAAACGAGCAAAAAGTACCTTCCCTTTTTTTTAGTTTTTAAAATGTTTCTAGAGTGGAGGGTGTGGGGTATGTAATGCCTTTAAATATAATCTGTATTTTTTTAAAAGAAAATCCTAACTTTTGCAATTTGTTCTCTACTGTTTTTCTTTGTCCCCCTTTGTGCTTAAAGTTTGTATATCTGTGCTAACAAACAAACGCCTCTTAAATTGTGAATTCTGTTTCAGCCTTTCCTTAAATTAGGTATCCATTTTTCATTTCCCCATATAGCTATGACTGCTTTGTGTTAACGCGTTTTAGGTATTGCTACTGGAATGATTTCTGAGCCCACTCTTGGTATGCTTTTTAGTATTTTGAATTGCCAACATGTGATTGCTACTCACCTTTACAAAATAGATAAGAAAAGCTAGGAACCAGCATAACGTTATATTGATTTTTATTAAGAAATGACAATGGAACTCTTACTTTAAAGATGCAATGCTCTTAAGGTTTAAACTATCATTAGTCTCTGAGATCCTTATATAGTTTTAAAATATCCAGGTTCCAAATTGTTCCTCCAAACAGGATTTTCTGACCTTGTAAATCTAATGTATAGATTACTGGAATTTATTGTACTAAGATTATTTAGATTTTTGGCTTATCTAAGTTGCAAACCTAAGCTTGTAAAAGTCTTGCAGTTATGGTCCTATAAAAAAAATCTAATACTATGTCTGGGGAACATTTTCTTTTACAACGGATACATTTTGAGCATAACTATTCATGGTTCGATAGATGAGCAACATTTAATTCTTTAGAAATATCAGATGTGCTAATTAAACCAGCAATAACTGAACAGCCAAGTGAGGATTTGCCTTACTGAAGATCTTAATTTAACATCCTAGCAAGTAACCATTCCATATAGGACAGTGATGGCGAACCTATTAGAGACCGAATGCCCCAAAACTGCCCCGTCCTCCCGCTCTGCCCTCTGCAAGGCCACCCACCACCTCCATGGCCCCCCACAGCGTGATGGTGGCCACGGCCTTTGCCTGCACCCCACAGCATTATCTGCATGCAACAGGGCATGAGGGCGGAGTCTTGTCCCTGCTGCCCTGCTGCCATATCCTTGGTTGCACTGCTCTGTGTGGGCTGTGCCTGGGAGTGACTTTCTGGGGGGGCTGCTGGTGAGGAGGGGGCCATGGGGAGGCGGGGCTGGGGCGACGGTGCACGTGCCCACAGAGAGGACTTTGAGTGCCGCCTCTGGCACGCGTACCATAGGTTCGCCACCACTGATATAGGATATAACATAAATCTGAGTGGCTCCCAAAACACAAACTGTTCTCTTTAATTTCCTGTGGCATCAGGCATGCAAATGTACATAGCTACATTATGTGTTTGCACCCAAAGGTATTATCATACTATCTGCTGATTTTTTGCCATGTCAGTAAATTCTAATTACATTTTATAGGTACGCCTTCAAGTTCAAAATGTGGAGAAGCCGCTCTACCGTGGGACTGTACATTGTTTCCAGTCTATCATAAAGCAAGAATCTGTAAGTAACATCCTGAATGAATGTGCATGTTTGCAATTAAGTGGAGGAGGAGATATCTACAAGTGGTATAGAAAATATCATAGTATACGATAATAAAATCCACAACAAGCCACAAAACCATAACAGCAGCAGTAGCACTAATCTTCACTGTTATCCAAAGCCATGAATTGAGACCATTCCATCCATATTTAAGTTTAGTTTAATGATCCAAATTGTGTGGATGCTTGATACTCCTAGCAGGTAGTGGATAAATGCAAATTCACTCCTATCTAGTTGTAAACAGAAGTATTGATGTGTGGGAATATTGCAGTAATATTGAATAACTGGCACAAGTTTAGAGTATATCCAGAGATGTGCATAGTAATTACTGTGTGTAGACCATGCATATGAATGTGTTACTGTTCTAGGGCAGGATGCTTAATTTCATCAGTATCCATCTCTGCCTCAAAGTTTTGGAAGGCTTGGGGGAAATGCTGAATTATTCCCATTCGTGCCCCCAAACAAAGCTCACACAAGATTGCTGTTTTTCCTGCTGCTTTACTATTGATCTCGGTTCCTCATTTGCAGGATGAAAACTACACAATTCATATAGGAAGGATCCTTGGATTCCTCATAGCTATATAAAGATGGGCATTTGATTCCTAAAGGGATGTGCTCAGCAGTTGGTGGTAATTGTTGCTGATTCATCTCCTGATCATTAATGTTCTCCTTAGGGCGATGGAATTAGTGATAATTTGCCTTGTTCATATTCTGATATTAAATAAGTAGCTGCCAAGTATTAAAAAAATGTAATACAGGGTAAGAAATAGGAGAACTTTTGAAAACAGCTGCACATTGAAATATGTGAACTTGGGAATGGTGGAGTATTTTTGGCATTTGCACACAAATATTCAATTGTTTGCTGCTGAAAAAAGAGCAGATCTTTGGGGTGTGATTTTTGGGTATGGCAAGTTGTCTTGTCTCATTGTTAGGAGTGCCATGCCTAAAGGACAATTCAGATCTATCTATTGATGTGCAAAATAAAAAAAAATGCAGAATGTTAACAGTTTTATTGTTTGCTGCTTGAGAAAAGTCTTAAAATTACTGCTCATCATCTATTTATGTGTTTTGTTTTCATCTAGACGCTTGGACTTTATAAAGGCATTGGGTCGCCTATGATGGGCCTTACCTTCATTAATGCCCTTGTCTTTGGCGTTCAAGGGAATGCTCTCCGTGCTCTTGGAAAGGACACACCTCTACATCAGTTCCTTGCAGGCTCAGCAGCCGGCGCCATTCAGTGTGTGATCTGCTGTCCTATGGAACTGGCTAAGACACGGATGCAGCTGCAAGGAACAGGGGAATACAAATTGAAGTCCAAAAACTACAAAAACTCTTTGGACTGCTTGGTGAAGATCTATCGAAAGGAGGGCCTAAAAGGCATCAACAAAGGAATGGTTTCCACATTTCTGAGAGAGACCCCCAGCTTCGGTTTCTACTTTTTAACATATGACTGCCTAACGAGGTATCTGGGGTGTGAGGCGGAAGATAGTTACATTGTTCCCAAACTGCTTCTGGCAGGAGGCATGTCTGGCATAGTCTCCTGGCTCTCTACTTATCCTGTGGATGTGATTAAGTCCCGCCTTCAGGCTGATGGAGTTGGAGGAGTCGTACGGTACCAGGGTATTCTGGACTGCGTTAGAAAAAGCTACCGGGATGAAGGGCCAAGGGTGTTCACAAGGGGTCTTACATCCACCTTGCTTCGTGCTTTCCCTGTTAATGCTGCAACATTTGCCACTGTTACAGTTTTCCTTACATATATGAGGTCAGAGGATGGCCAGATCAGAGGCGATTTAAGTGGATGTGAAGCTGGTCCAGTGATCCAACAGCCTTCGAGTTTTTAAATTGACTGGAAGATTGTACCTGTTACATATGAGATGCCATCATTATTTCTTTTTTCTTTTTTTTAAAAAAAGAATATTTGGATACCAAGAGTATACATTTTGGTCTGTATAAAGCATCTTTTTAAAAATCTCATTTATAAAAGCAGCTTAATGCTTTAGGAAGATTCTGAGTTGACTCTAGAAACTCAGACAATAAAAGGATTTGCCCTTTGAACATGTGCTCAAGACACATCTGCTGGATTTTTCCAGTGTAGCCTTGACTTCAATTCCCACAATCCCCAGCCAGCACATTATTAAGGAAATCCAATGCAGTCACTGGTCACCAGTTGAAGTCAGTTTCAATGTATTGCAGCCAGCTCAAAATGGCTACTACATCTTATCAACTCTGATGCTAAATTCCTATTCAGACTCTATCCATATTCAAACAGGAAGAGAAGAAATGGGGCTTTGAACAGATAATGAAGACTTGTATGCACAGATGTTACACCCCTTTCATGTTCATTGGGGGCGTGGGACTAGGGCCAGCAGCATACCTCTCTCAACGCACATTAAAGGTCTGGATGGGTTCCCTGTTCTGGTTATTGCTCAATCTGACCACTGTATTCTATTTAGAACTGATTGTCCTGGTAAATGTAGAGTAAAAAACCATTTGTTTCATTTTTCTGCACTTTATCCTAGGGGAGCTTGTGTTCTTCCAAATAATTTTAGCTTATAATATACAACCATCTGATTAGTGGCCCTCCTGGTGGGAACTGATGGAGATGAACAACTGGAGAACTTCAAGCCTTTCCCAACTCTATTTTAACATCCTGTTGAAAGTCATTCTGTAGATCAGGGGTCTCAAACTTGCAATGTCACGTGACGTGTCGCAACGTATTGCGACTTTTTTTTCCATTGCCTCTTCCTGTTAATTGTGAATATTTTACTACAGTGTATAAACAGCCTGCTTTATTTCTTGATCAGTAGTAAGTCAATATCTCAATCATGCTGTTCAGTATGCAGATGCGTTCCCTGCTATTTTCAGATTATAGTTTGTTTTTCCGTGCTACTATTTGCATTTGGCTTTTAATTTTTTAATGTATGTAGTTGCATCTTGTAAATATTTAAACATATTTTAGTTAGTATGTTTTGAGTTGGAAGCTAGAGTAAACTATCTAGAAACCTTGTTACAACCCAAAATGTAGATTGTTTTTAAGGTGGTGGTGATAGATGTGCTTAAATTACCATTTCTCCATTACTGGGGTAAATGCGCATAATTGTGAAAGTATATTTAAAAGGATTTAACAGAAGTGTGTTTTAGAGAATTCAATAATGAAAACAGAAGTCAAGCTCAGCAGTTTTGGAAACCTTGGTGAACAAGAAACCTAACAAACTATTAAGTCTATTTCGTAGCATCCTTAAATAAGAATGCTGCAACATTGGCTCACTGACATCAGCAATATACTAAGTTAATTGGGTTTTATTAACAAATGTTTAAGGTTGTAGTGCTATACACACTTATCTGGATGATTAAACTCCAATTGGGCTGATATCTGAACAGCAAAAAATACCATTGGCCTAGTCATAATGTATCTCAAGGTGTGGCCAATCAAACATCTGTTCCATATTACTGAGTGAAGAAAAAAAATCTTACACTAAATCAGAGTAATGAAGCCTGCAGGGGTTGCCTATAAGTGTTAAGAAACCTTGAGAATAATTAGCTTGTTATTGGAAGTTTTGTTTCTGTCCATATCTATCTCACTTAAAGATCTGCTCATAATTAATCAGACCTGTGGGCAGAAAAAACATTTCTCTAATTTTATGCCAATATTTTCACATGGACTTGAATTGGATGTATTGGAGGTGAGTTTGGACATGCAGAGGAAAATCAAATTAAACCCATGTGGTGTTGTAATTCAAATTGAAGCCATGCTGCACATTACTACAGGATTGAGCACAATGTCTGCTCTGGTTAATTTCCTCACAAACTGTTTCCCACAATAACGATGTAAATATGGTCATTCAACCAATGAATGAGCAAAAAGATAATGTGAAATTCCTCAAGTGCAAACTATGGATTAACACTACCACTTATCCATTCAAGAAATACAGTATATGAACATAATGTGAGCTTGCCAAGCAGCAAGAACTCAGTGTTACATTTAGATTGAAACTTAAATGGCTGAGGAAACAGGATGCAAGACAACTGCATACTATTTCTCATCGCCTCTAAGGACACCTTAACACTCAACCAGTGGTCACTATTTGGCACATAGTGGGTCATTAATGAGCCTTATAAATGCTTTAAATTGCAGTTGCACCATTAACTAGGGCCTGCAATATATAAATTGTACAAATACCATGTTTCTCACATGTTTTTAAGTACTTCCTATTCTTTTTCCACTGCTGCCGTGAAGAATGTGTAAGCTCAATTAAAAAAAGGTACCACTTGCAGATTTAGCTTTGGATCAGAGCCTACATAGTTATGGGTCCAAAACATCTGTTGAAGGCCATTATTCTAGCTGTTGAATAGACAAGGTGAAGAAAAACTGGTAGAAAATCTAGCAATGTGATATAGAACGAGGCTCATATGTAGAATGTACCATTAAATAACTGCAGTGGAAGGTTTTTGGGGGGACAGGTGCAATATGTCTGTTTGAACGCTTTTTTAATAAAAATCTAGCCAATTATTTGAATAATAATTATGCTGGAGAAACCTATAAAACTGGATTGCTGCTTCTATACCATGCAGGTATAGTGGATGTTTTGACACTACTTGCAGGGACATTCAAATTGAATGTGAAACCTAAGTTGTTTGTTGTGCAACGACACTATCTTTTTTTGTACAGTATTCTGTAACTATTGTACATAAAAGTAATAAACCTTTTTTTTAAAAAAAATATAGTTCTTTCTTTGGTGGAACTAGGATCACCTATACTAAATCAAAGATGAGCGACTGTGGGCACTGAATCCCCTCTGATAAGAATTTACAAAAACTCTTACGGCTCCTGCAAAGTTGAAAATATGCAAAAAAAAAAAGCAAGCCTTATCATATGAATCCTAATAAACCTAAAGTTCAAAAATCTGGAAATTTCCCCATCGATCCTTACCAATTAGGCAACTCTTAACCCTTCAGTGTTAGATGTTGCCCTTGACCTGCAAAATATTGCCCACCTTCATACCAAGCGAAGACCTTTTCATGGTGTAGCATTTTTGTAAATCAAGAGCTAGGAAACAGTATATATGCTTCATTTGTTGTGGCAATGCACTCCACTAGATATCCCAAGGTTCTTTTATAAAGATCCCTCATCTGAGGTAGAGTTTAGATACTATCATCATGCTATTCTGACCAGATTTGTTGCATCTTTATATAATAAATAATCTGTAAATAGTATTTCCAATTTTGGAGGAAAAAGAGGGAAGTAACAGATTTTATATCTTAAAAGATACTTAGCAGATGTGGCTCTAATGGTTTGCAGTCTTTTAATTCCCTCTTTTCCTACAAAATATTCCAGAACAGTATGGATTGTATGATACAGAATTTCAATAGTAAAGTGGCAGAGAATCAGTAGATAAACTTGCACTGATTTCAAGAGATTTGCTTTTGTGTTATTGCTCTATATTAGGGGTGTCAAACTGCCAGCCCGTGGACTGGATGCGTCACATGGAAGCCGCACCCACCCCATTGCCAGCAATGGCAAAAACGGCCCGATACATTGTGCGACATCACGTGACGTCGTGAGTTTGACATGCCTGCTCTATATATTGCTGAGCAGGAACAAGACAAAACTGTATTGCAGAGTTATTGGCTTCTGTTCATTAACCAAATTAGTAACTCACATCAAAGTTATGTAACCCTCCACTCAGTACATTTTAAATTCTCTTGTCATCAAATATTATTTACAGAACATGGCAGGCAATTCAGCAAAACTTCTTATGCAATGGAAAGTGCCACCTGCTTTCTCAAGTTTACACAAATAAAGCTACAAATACAGAAACATCACAATATACTGCTGCTTGTAGTTTCATATTCATTTTTTACATGTGAAACAAACGACTTCAGCACTATATTTCTATGTAAGTTCAACGTTAACAGTTTCCATTGAGGTAGCTTAAAATGTATTCATTCTCTTAGAAGAATTAAGGTTTGTATTGAATGTGCTGGTATAGTATTTCAAATTTCTGGGGAAGAATGGCAGATAGAAGACAGCTTTGCAAAAATTAGGCTAAGAACAAGCAGCCAACAAGTACCACATTTCCCCAAGAATAAGACCCAGCCTTATTTATTTTTTTTGCCTCCAAAAGGCACCAGTGGCTGAACAGCGCCACCAGTGTGATGAGCCATGTGGCATCCTGCCACGAGCAGCGGCACCAGTGCGATGCACCACGTGGCATGCAGCTGCTGGCCATAGGAGGCCTGGCTACAGCAGTCCTAAGGTAAGCAGGTGTGGAGTGCATGGGGCAGCTCCACCCCCCATCCCCGCCCTAGCTTGATTTTTATGCATGCGCCCCACCCCAAAACTAGGGCTTATTTTGGGAGGTAGGGCTTATATTAGGCATACACGTAAAAATCAAGCTAGGGCTTATTTTTGGGATCTTATTTTCGGGGAAACACGGTAGATGGGCTCCATCAACCTTCTCTGGACAGAGAAGATACGAGATCATCCAACCATATGGTTGTTTCTCATGAGGAGATTGCAAAGCAGCAGTCTCCAGAGGATGGGAGAACCAGAAACCAAGGGAATTAGCCATACTGCTCCAGCCACAGGCAGGGTCTTCCGAAGAATATTAAATTCACTTTTCCCTTGCCAATTCCATTTCAAAATTGCCTATTAATTGCTTTAAGAAGTCAGGCTTCAAAATGGCAAGGCTTGAAACACTGGGTGCTTTCAATCTTTGATATAAGAAAATGAAGATGTCTCTTTATGACCTTTAAGAGCTTGAAATAAGCAGCAAAAAGCAAGATGGGATTTTGGCTACAGAAAGTTTTAAATGGATTAAAAAATGTAATATTGGATTTTGAATATTAAGACTTTGAAATTAATTTTAAAGAATAATAAAGAATAAATTTCACGAGAAAGAAAAACTGGACAGATATAACAGGACAAGCAACTTATAAGGGCAATGTGTTCCCAAAAGATGTTACAGAAAAAGATATGCAATAAACAAACATAAACAAAACTTTAAACAAAATTTTATCATTAGATAGTAAAAAGATTTGAATGAGGCTTTAAAAATAAAGAGATAACACAAAAGGGACATACAAAAGCCAGTATTTCCAGGAGAGGTCAGTGTCACACTTTACAGTCCACACAATGAAAACCCATGTCAGAGGATACAGATTTTTATGTTTTATAAAGTATAGAGTTCTGCCCCAGAAACTACCTTACAAGTTATTCCTACAGTTAAAAAGTTATTGACATAACTATCTCCCTTAAGAAGAGTGGTGTACAGCAGGAAGGGTGCTGCCTCTTGCTTGGTGCAATATATCTAATTGTGAATTGGAACATTTGTATTCCCCGATTCCTGCATTGTACGATTAAGAATTATTGACCCTTTGTCACCCAATGTAAGTTGCACTATTCTGATAGTTCTGAACCCATTTAGCTTAACCTAAGTGCATTCACTAGGTGGGGTAGAATTCCCAACCAGGAGTTAAGAAGCATATTCTCTCCCAAGTGTAATTTGTAAAATAACCAAGGACATGAAAAGATCTAGATAGAACCTTCTTGCCTGGTGGAACACATGTAACTCTCTTATAGTAGAATGAGTCCCTATGCCCCAAACCTTCTAGCCAAGATTACTACCAAACAGGTTGTCTTCCAAGAAAGTCAATGAGAGTCTGTTTAATGAGATGGAAGAGATAAGCAGTGACAGGCACCCTGTCAAGAAATAGGGAGTCACTAGGACTAAAGAAGTGTGACGCTCTCAAACCTTAAAATTAATCTCCATCTCCCACAACGGAGCCAAAAGCAGTTACTTTCTAGGTTTGTTACCAGACCCCTCTTTAGACCTACCTGTAGAATACCTGTAGCGTTTCAATATTAGTATTATCATTTGACAGTGTGCCAGGTCAACTGATCCTACTTGTGGATGTTGCTTTGGAGTCAGGAAATCTCTGCCAACTCTGGAAGCTCAGTATAATGATTAATTCATTCAATTTCCAGGTTTGTTGGAATTGTAGATCAGAAGTTAGATCTTGAGACAGATCAAATACCAATGAGCCAATGTGTCAGAATACAGCAATCAGAACGACCCTTGATTCTTGTGTCCCATTTGTGTTGGAGAACAGGGGGCATAGAAAATATCAAGATTAATCCTGATGTCATCTTGCAACTGCATCTTTTTATGGTCTAGTATCACAAATAGGTCCAGAGTTCTTGTGAAAAATCTTTCTTCGCTTAGAAAAGCACAAGCAACCCAGCCAGTCCAGTGTGATCATTGCCCTTTATTGATTTCACTGATACAGGAACTGTTTCTCTCTGCATCATTTGATGTTTGGACTCCCTTTGAAAATCTTTTGATCTAGATCTGCTATGATTTAGATAGAATTTGTTGTACCTCCTCACCTGGTCTGACAATATCTTTAAGCTTACTTGTATTGCTTTCTGCTCTGCTTGGTCATCAGCATTGACTTGGAATGGGATCCTGTCCTCTGCTATATTTTGGTAACAGGCACTTCATCTTATCAGGCTGGCATCTAAATTATTTGACTTCAAATCAGCTGAATATAAGGTAGGCTGGGACTAACAACTTATGCAAGGATTGAACAACTTCTCATAACTGTCAAGAGCAAAAGATCAAGTCTACACATGAAGGTCCAATTAAACTGATTTATTGCTAATTAAGCCTATGTATGGAAATCTTCTCACCTAAGGATTAGCACCTGCCTAGGGATAAGGGCCAACACAATTCAAGGGAGGTTGGACTTAGTTCACTTGTAGGGACCCTAGGTTCATCCTCTTTGAACTCTACCCCATGTTCTGCCACTCCTTCTCCTACAATAACACCTATATGTATCAGTGGGCTCTTATAGATATGCTATGGTCTTGAAATAGGAGAGAGTGCCATTGTAGAAGGCCAATGTTGTGATTCTCATCTACAGTAGTCATATCATTTTCTTAAAGTTTGGCCTTCTGGATGTAGGAGCCATCAAGGCCTTGAGTTTCACAAGGCCAACTTACACACCTTTATGGTTTCCTCAGGGGTGTCCTTCTTTCATATCCATTCTGCTTTGGTATATTAATCCAGTGGATTTGCCCGTTGGGGAAAGGGAAGCTGGGTGATATTGCTTTATTTGTCCTAACCACTAATCTGCAGCACTTCTGGCATCACTGATTACTTCATATATTGAGAGGAAGGAGTGAAGAGAACATCTGTCATGTGGCTTCCTATTGTTTTGCCCTGCTGCTCTGGAAGCAATACTTCTATAACTGACCTCAGCTTCCCAGCTGCCTCATTATTCTTAGTATGCTTTCTTGATTCTAGTAGGGAGAATTAGAGTCTTCAAATCTTCTATTCCTGTGCTAGAAAATCAGTGTCTTGATTGTTGCTATTTGCTCACCTCCTCTAAGGCATTCTTCTCTTGTTCTGGAATCAGACATATATTTGATTACCCTTACTTTCCCATTGGCCAAATGGACTTTATCCATCTTCTGGGGGCTTCTCCAGCTCAGTCATGAAACCCACTTGGCTGTGGTCTTTTGTTGGTATGTCAATCAGCTCTCAGGAATTGTTTCAGAGCATCTGGCCCATGTTTTTTCTCAGATCCCAAAATAGAGCTAACAGGGAAAGTCACTGCTTCTTCTACAAAGAATGTACAGAGGGCATTACTTTATGGGATAAGGTATCATCTTAAGTTCTGCCTTGTAGCTAGAAGTTAATAA